CTTGCCTCTTTCATGAGTCAGCATGCTGGGGTGGGCTTCTGGTGATAGCTGGCATGGCACCCATCCACCTTAGACTTGAGTGGAATCATTCCTTTGATCTCACCTCATTGTCCTGTCTAGGGTAAGTAGACATTTGTTCACATCTCCCCAGGAAAAGGATATACAGATCAAATTTAGACCAATTGTTGCAAATATATCACTGGGGTGAGTCAGAGGGAATGGACACACCCATTGTGAGTTCTAGCAAGGTAAAGCAACAACCCCAAAGACATCCCTCAATGTAACAGACCTCCTATATATCTGAAATGTGTGCTCACATGTGTTCTGGCCCACAGAGGCCAGAAGAGGGTGTCAGATCACTTTGAGCCAGTTACAGGCAGTTGTGACCTGCCCAACCTAGGTGATGGAAACCAAACTCCAATCTTCTACATGATCAGCACATGCTCTTAACTGCTGAGCCATCTCTCCAGCCCCCTTATGGCCTGATTTTTAAAGTATGGGTATTTTATTTTTGGCCTTTTATGTTTGGATTACACTGTGAAACTTCTTGGGCCAGAAAGATGGCTCAGTGGGTAAGAAGACTTGTGTAACAGGCCTGGTGACCTGAATTTGATCCCTATAATCCAGGTGAAAAGAGAGAACCACCTCCACAAAGTTGTTCTCTGACCTCCATGTATGCTCCATGTCACAAGCACATTCACATCATGCACAGACACATAATAGTAATGAAGTTTAAGGATTTTTTGAGTACTGGAGAGGTGGCTCAGTGGTTAAGAATATTTGCTGATCATGCAGAAAATTGGAGTTTGGTTTCCATCACCTAAGTTGGGCTGCCCTTGCAGAGGACTCAAGTTCAGTTCCCAGCCAACACGTGGCAGCTAACAACCACCTGTAAGTCCAGTTGGAGGATCCAGCGCCCTTTTCTGACCTCACATACATGCACTTACATACGTGCAGGTAATAATCTCATACACATAAAACAAAAATAATAAATTTTTAAAATAAAAAAAAAAATTGAAGATCTTAAGCTTGTGCTACCAGGTCTTTCCCACCACAATGACTTGTAGCCCCTCACATTGTAAACTGAAATAATGTCTTTCTCCTTTTAAGAAAAAAAAAGTTGATGTATGTTAGGCAAGCAGCCACCCTATTGTTGAGAAGACTTCAACAATTGCTAGACATGTGTTATTCCTTATTACTTTGGAAAGTGGTGTTTTGGGGACTACAAAAGAGATTAGGAGAGTCATCAGGTTTTATGTGTCACTGGGAAGAGATGGCAGTTGGGTGGCGCTGCCCTCCTCTCCTTCTACTCCCTTCTTCCCCTTCCCTTCCTTCCTTTGCACTCTCCTCCTTCCTCAGATGGCTGTTTGCCCTTGTTGCATAGGCTGTCTTTGAACAGCTCTTTCAAATGATCCTTCCATCTTAGTTGCAAACACAAGCATGTGCCAGTATAACTAGTTACAATGAATTCTTCCTTAAAACAGAAGTCATTTGTTTATTCTGTTCTGCTGTGTTAGGATCTTTAAATATTGATTATGTATCATATTTGCTACTTGACAAAATTTGTCCTGGAGTGAACTGGAATGTCTGCAAAGGAAGGTTGTTAGACTGATTGCCCAGTATTTGGGGCGGGGGGCTAGTCCTTTAGGTATCTGTGTGGTTTCTGAACAGAATAGACATTCAGAAGATAACAAGAGTTCAGAAAGTGCTATGATATTTGCATAAATAAGTCTAAACAGCTTACTGAAGTACTCTTATTATTCAGGTTTGTGGTATCACTCCTAAAGTGTTAAATTTCCTCCTGCCCACAAAGCTTAAACTTGGTGAGTAGAAATTTTTAAGGGCAAGCAGCCTCATGACTACTAAAGACAATCAGTTGTTGGGACTGTGTTACAAAAGGTACTAGAGATCCACTGTAGACAGAAAAACTGGGAGGAGGGGTCTGGTAGCACATCCTACTTCCTGAGAGGAGTGTCCTACCCTGATGTTTTCCTTTATATCTTAATAAACCAGGAGGCTTGGGGGGTATAGTTCTTTAATGCCAGCACTCCGGAGGCAGAGGCAAGCAAATCTCTAGGTTTGAGGACAGCTTGGTCTACATAGTGATTTTCAGGCTAGCCAGAGCTATATAGCAAGACCATGTCTCAATAACAAAAATAAAATATCTCAATTACAGTTCAGTAAGCACTACTCAAACACAGTGGGTAACACTACATGTGTGCAGGGTTGCTAGAAGAGGCTGGACATTGATAGTCCCATGGCAACACACAGAATTTTGGATTTAATCCAGAAAAGAGAAAGACCAAATAGATGAGAAAAAGAGCCTCTTCCAGATGTGCACATGTGCCAGATATGCACACCACCTAAAGAGCTTCAGAGTCATTTGGAATCTCATATCAAAAAAGTTCTTGAATCATCTCTTCATAATAGTTGGCAAGATACCACCCTGGAAGACAGCCATGTGTTCAGTCTCAGCACATTTAACTGATGAATTGAGCCATGCAGTACCTAACTACAGGCTTCACCCATTGTTCAGGGTCAGAGATGTTCTTGATTTCTATAATGTTCCTATTCAAAACGTATCAAAATTTGATAACTTATTGCCAGTAATTTGCCTCCCAATTTGAAAATCACTTGGAGTTACTGAGTAATTAAGATGAGCATATTGAAATTATTTTAAAATATTTATTTTTAATGTGTATGAGTGTATTCCCTGCATGCATGTAAGTGCACCCATGTCATGCAATGCCCCAGCAGTCAGAAGAGGGCATCGGATCCCCCAGAACTGGAGTTATGGATGGTTGTTAGCCACCTTGTGGGTGCTAGGAATAGAACCTGGATCCTCTGAAAGAGTAGTCAGTGCTTTTAACCATTGAGCCATCTCTCCAACCCCTGAAATTACTTTTATTCTCCTCACTAAGGTGGCTGCTGGTTAGACCTTTTGATGTACTACATATCAAAACTCTTCTCTAAACCTGCCTTTTCTATATATTTGATTTGGTTTTTTTTTTTTTTTTCAGTAGAACAACACATTTTCCTTTTCTTGTGATGAACATACAAAACATTTTCATATTGCTAAAACTTTTTTTCCCAATGAAATAGTTTTAATATTTTATGAGAAGTTTCTTCTCTGGTGTATCAGTCAGGGTTCTCAGAGGAAGAGAACCAATGGAATGAGTAATGAGTGTGTGTGTGATTATTAGATTACATGCAGTCTAGATAGTCCAACCATGGCTGACTCAAAGGAGGCCAAGAGCCTGATAGGTGCAGAGTCCACAAGTCTGAAGCCTCACCAGTCCCAATCTGGCACTGAAGCCCTGAGTATTTCTGGGAAACTGCAGGTCTACTGTCTACATTGAAAGCTGGTTCTAATATCAACCAAGAAATGCAGCAGTGGCTGGAACAGTACAGATAAACATGCCAGCAGAGTGAAGGCAGGCAGACAAAAAGCAAAGCTTTCCTTCTTTCATGGGAGCTGCCCACTTTAGGGTAGGTCTTTCCATTTCAGATAATCTCATCAAGAAAGTCTCTTACAGGAATATCCAGTAGCTTTCTTTTTTGTTGATTCCTGATCCAATGGGAAAGTAGGTATTTTAGAAAGTTTGTTTCTTTCCCTCTTTGCTTTACTGCATGAGTAGAAATGGTAGATACTGTATTCTGGATTCATCTTTTTAAAAATATTTTATTGTTGGGGCTCAACAGCTCAGCTGGGCTTAACAGCTCAGCGGTTAAGAGCATTGGCTGCTCTTGCAGAGGACCCGGGTTCAATTCCCAGCACCCACATGGTGGCTACAAACCGTCCTTACCTCCAGTTCCAGGGGAATCTGAAGCCCTCTTCTGACCTCTGCGGCATTGCACAACACAGGTGCATTCACATACATGCAGGCAATACACTCATACACATAAAATAAAAATAATAAAAGATTTTTAAAAATATATTTTATTGTTGTGCCGGGTGTGGTGGCACACGCCTTTAATCCCAGCACTCGGGAGGCAGAGACAGGTGGATCTCTGTGAGTTCAAGGCCAGCTTGGTCTACATAGTGAGTTCCAGGACAGCTGGGGCTACAGAGAGACCCTGTCTCAAAAAGACCAAAAAAAAAAAATTTTTTTTTATTGTTTTTATTTTACGTGTATTACTGTTTTGCGTGCATGTATGTAAGTGCACCCATGTAGTTCAGTGCCTGCAGAGGTCAGAAGAGGGCATCAGATCCCCTGGAACTGGAGTTATGCACAGTTGTTAGCTGCCATTTGGGTGCTGGGAATTGAACCCAGGTCCTCTGTAAGAGCAGTCACTGTTTTTAAACACTGAGCCATCTTTCTAGCTCCTCATCTCATATATATAAATCTTGTACCTAAGATGTATATATGTCCCGGCCCGCAGGACACTTCTACAGTGGCGCAACGAGTGGGGGTCCTAGAAGGAATGACAAACAAGGAACACGAAGAAAGAGAGCAAGACAGTGTTCTGATCAAGCTCCGTTTATTGAGTACACACAGCGTATATTTATAGTGGGCTCAGGGCGGGGGGAGTGGAAGGCGGGAATAGAGAAAAAGGAAGAGGGGCTCTGGTGGAATTTTCCACTAAGGGCTAATTGTCAAAGAGGGGCAGAGGGGTTTGTCTGAGAAGGCATGTGGTTAACATTTTCCCAGGACTAACATCGGTAGTAAATATTTCTCAAGGCTGACTTGACCTGGGTCACAAGTTGTTTTCCCACATTCCTCAACCAGGTATTATCTTATAGAAACTTACAGAAAACCATTAAGACTGTCTTTTCTCAAGGCCATAAAGATTTGTAGGAAACCATAAAGCTGCCAAGAGAGAGAGAGAGAGAGAGAGAGAGAGAGAGAGAGAGAGTCATTGCAATGATTAAAACTGCTTTGTGGTGGAATTCATGTTTGTCAACCATGGAATTATGTGAACATCTTGTTCACTGAGTGTAGATTCACAGTGCTGTTAATCTCAGCCATTCTGTTATGAACCATTATGGGATATTGCAGGACCCTGTGGCCTTTGAGGATGTGGCTGTGAACTTCAGCCAGGAAGAGTGGGCCTTGCTGAATCCTTCTCAAAAGACTCTCTACAGAGATGTGATGCTGGAAACCTGCAGAAACCTCACTGCTACAGGTAAGTCTTTCCTTCATGTAAGTGTTTTTTGGCTATGGACATTCTTCTGAGATTTAGAGTACAGAAAAGAATTTGATGAATCAGGCATGATTACAATGTACATTGAAGTTTAAAGCTTGTAATTCTGTAATTCAGTCATAATAAATTCTTGGGGTCTATATTTTAGGAACTACATGGGAAAACCAGAATATTGAAGACCATTGTAAAAATTCCAGAATAATTCTAAGGTAATTTGCATGCAGAAGTGGAAGCAAACATGAGGGGATGTTAACCATGCCATGAAATTTTAACAATAAGCAAACAAAACAAATAAGCAAAACTTTAACTTTATTCATTCTTAGAAAGTTTTTCACTAAATGTATGTACTTCAGTGTTGTGGAGGGTTTACTTGGAATCAGTACTAGGAAATTGCATTTATGAATGTCACTGTATTAATATCTCTGTGGAAGCCATATGCAGAACTGTCAATCCATTTATAGTAATGACTTGGGCCATCCTGACCATTCAGGATTGTCAGAATGTATATATTTGCTCCGATTTTAGGAGCAAGATAAATCTAGGACTTAAAAACAAATGGTTGTAAAGAAACTAGGACTAATGTGCTTGTTTTTTTTTACAGTTACCTGGTAGAGACACTCTATGAGAATGAAGAATGTAGTCAGGGTGAAGAAATCTTAACCTGGATGCCAAATCGCAATATGAGCATGAACATTTCTACTGGACTGAAGCCATGTGAATGCAGTGTTTGTGGCAGAGTTTTAATGTGTCATTCATCCTTTAATAGTCATACCATATCTCACTCTGGATGCAAACCATATGAGCATGAAGAATATGGAAATACGCAACAGAACTGCAGTTCTCTTCCATGTCTTCAAAGAAACATAGGAAACCACACAGTGAATGGACCTTGTGAATGTGAGATATGTTTAAAATCCTTTGGTTTTTCCAGTTCATTTGGAATGTGTCGAAAAACTCACAATGGAGAAAAACTCTATGAATACAGACAGTGTGGAAAGGCCTCTGGTTGTCCTAGTTCACTTCGCACACATGGAGGAACACATGCTGAAGAAAAATACTATGGATGTAATCAGTGTGGTAAGATTCTGAGTTCTTTCAGTTCCCTTCAAACACATGAAAGAATTCATACTGAAGAAATACCCTATGAATGTAAACAATTTGGTAATGCCTTTAGATGTCACAAATCGTTTCTCTGCCATAAAAAGATTCATTCTGGGGAAAGCCCCTTTGAATGTAAACAATGTGGGAAGTCCTTCATTTACCCTTCTTTACTTCAAATGCATCAAAGGACTCACACTGGTGAAAAGCCCTGTGAATGTAAACAATGTGGTAAAGCCTTTAGATGTCACAGTTCTCTTCAATTGCATGAACAGTCTCATATAGGAGAAAAACCCTATGAATGTAAACGATGTTGTAAAGCCTTTGCATGTCACCGTTCTCTCCGATTACATGAAAGAATTCATACTGGAGAAAACCCCTATGAATGTAAACAATGTGGTAATTCCTTCCCTTACCTGTATTTACTTAAAACACATATAAGAACTCACACTGGTGAAAAACCCTATATATGTAAACACTGTGGTAAAGCCTTCACAAGTCACAGTTGTCTTCGATTACATTGGGGAACTCATAATGGAGAGAAACCCCATGAATGTAAAGAATGTGGTAAAGCCTTCCTGTATCCATATTTACTTAAAACACATCTAAGAACTCACACTGGTGAAAAGCCCTATGGGTGTAAGCAATGCAGCAAAGCCTTCAGGAGTCACAGATCCCTTCGTAAACATAAATCAGTTCATGATGAGGAAAAGCCTTATGAATGTAAGCAATGTGGTGAAGGCTTCAGATGGCATAGGTCACTTCAAGTACATGAAAGAATTCATGCTGGAGAAAGACCATATGAGTGTAAACAATGTGGTAAAGCCTTTAGACGGCGCCGTCATCTTAGATTACATGAAAGAACTCATACCAGTGAGAAACGCTATCAATGTAAACAATGTTATAAAGCTTTCAAGGGTTACAGTTCTCTTCGAAGGCATGAAGGAATTCACACTGGACGAAAGCCCTATGAATGCAAGCAGTGTACTAAAGCCTTCATTTACCCTTATTTACTTCATAGACATGAAAAAATTCACATGGGTAAAAAGCCCTATGAATGTAAACAGTGTTGTAAAGCTTTCAAGGGTTACAGTTCTCTTCAAATTCATGAACGAATTCATTCTGAACAAAAGCTATATGAATGTAAGCAATGTGATAAAGCCTTCAAATGGTATAGGTCACTTCAACTACATGAAAGAATCCATACTGGAGAAAAGCCTTATGAGTGTAAACAGTGTGGTAAAGCCTTTAGATGTCATAATTACCTTAGGTCACATGAAAGAACTCATACCAGTGAAAAACCTTATCAATGTAAACAATGTTGTAAAGCTTTCAAGGGTTACAATTCCCTTCGAAGGCATGAAGGAATTCATGCTGGGCGAAAGCCCTATGAATGCAAGCAGTGTGGTAAAGCTTTCATTTATCCGTATTTACTTCATGCACATGAAATAACTCACACGGGTAAAAAGCCCTATGAATGCAAGCAGTGTGGTAAAGCTTTCATTTATCCATATTTACTTCATGCACATGAAAGAACTCACACTGGTAAAAAGCCCTATGAATGCAAACAATGTAGTAAAGCCTTTAGATATCACAGTTCTCTTATAAGACATGAAAAATCTCATGATGATGGGAAAACCTAGTGGAGGTAAATAATATTTTTAAAGACTTTCCAGTTCCCTTGTAATGTCTGGAGAACATATGAATATAAATTTAGTGAATATAAAACAAATTGTCAGACCTTCATGTTTTTGAAGTCTGGTTGGGGGAGGGGACGTTGGTTTTGTATTTGTTCTCCATTTGTTTGTGTATGAATACTTGCATACCTGCCATGAGTATGTGTTATCAGAAGACAACTTGCAGGAGTCTGTTCTCTCCTTATGTGAGATTGGAGAATTAAACTCAGGTCATCAAGCTTGGCAGCAAGTACCTTTTACCTCCTGCGCCATCTTGCCAGATTTGGTTTTTGTTTTTTCAGATAATGATAGTACACACACCATGGAGAAAAATCCTGTGTATGTAAGAACTGTATTAAGGCCTTTAGTGCCATTTAAAAACATGGAATGACTGATTCTGGAGGAATACGCATTTGAATGAATAGGATATAGGAATACTTCTCTCACATTCACACATAATTTCCAATACAGATAGACATTATAAGAACAGTTAGCGCATTGATAATGTAGCAGCCTGGAAAATAAAGGAAAAGTTGTTTAAGTATTTCAGCTACAATATAAAAAGCCATGAGAGCACTTCTTTTGGAAGTGTATTGAAATCCAATGCAAATTCCGGTATCCTCAAAATTTCACATGAATGAATTTATGCAATTGTGAGTATATTGTTTTCCCCTCTTTAAAGGAGGACCCTGCTGGGTTTGGTGGCACAGGCCTGTAACTACTGCTTCCTGGGCAACTTAGGTTTGAGGATCATAAATTAAAACCTTGCCTGTGTAACTTAGTGTGGCCATCCCTTAGTAAAATGCAGAAGGGAGTTGGGTATATAGCTTAGTGGTGGAGTGCTTGCCTAGCATTAATGATTGCCTCATTTCAATCCTGAGTCCAGCAGGCATGGAAAAAAAAAAAAGGAAAGAATAGTGATCCCTGGACCTCATGTTTCCATTACTTTAATGAAAATAATGGCATGAAAGTCCTGTTAGTAGAGCTGTGTTCATTAACAAGGAAGAAAATTGCTGAGATAAAGTTGGTAGCCAACCTCCTAATTAAATGAAGATTATGAGTTTACTTATAGGTATTGTGCTACACACCTAGGTTATATGGTATGTCCTGTTGCTTTTAAGGGTCCAAACAACTACAAAATGTTATTTTACTGAACAGTGTTAATAATATAATATTTGTGTACAGAGAATGGTATAAAGATAGATACTACACCTGTGAAGGGCATCTGCCTTTAATGGAACTTTCAGTACTAGATATTGCTTGAATGAGAGTCTGGGTGATTAGTAAAGATGAAGGACATTATAGACTTGTGATATACTAAACTTTCTTTTTAAATTTTTTGAAGTGCTTGCTATAACTCCTTTGCCTTATAAATTTGAAAACATACTTTTAAGCTTTTTTTCTTTTTTAAGGAATTTTTTAAATGTTTACAAATTAAGACTATGTAGA